CCTTAGATCAAGATCAGATCTGTTCTTGGTTTAAGGCACCTTGCAGGACCTTTTGACATTCAGTTATGCAGGTACTGGCAAAAACTATGTAATGATATAGAAACGTTAATTATACAATGTAACCGTTTCTGCCTCCCCCCCTCCCCATTGACTATAATGTATGATTTGGTGGCCCATAAGAACCTTATTTGCCTTTTATGGAATCTGGTGTGAAAGGCATACAGTACCATCCTTGAGAATGTTACTTGCATGTATTTTTCTGGAGTTTGTGAAGTCAATTTTTTATTACCTTCATAGTGAAGACTGCAGATTGTTCGACACCAGTTTTCCAAAGAGGGCCTTATTTTTAATCAAATGTCCTCCAGAACATTTAAACTCCACTGAACATAAGAGAAGTGAATTATGCTAAGACAATCTCTTTAACAACATCTCTGTCTAATGCACTACAAAGCCCACTTTTTCTATTTGTAGCTCCCAGGACTCATTATTTTTGGTTCTTCCTAGTAATTTTATGGGAGTATCTAAAGCCTGGCCAAGCCCATCAAAAGCAAAAGTGAGGATAAGAGAATTATCTCTATATATCTACCTTGCATAATTATGAGTTGTTGTTCTTGATTGAAGTAGCCAGGGCCTAGCTATATCCGAAACTCCCATGCTAATGTGCCTTCTTGGAAGACTGAAAAGTACTGCATAATATGATTACACAGATGATAGCTCTGAAGATGTTTTGGGTTCTTATCCTCCAAATGATTTGATTTGTGCACCCTATATTATACTGTACTTGTCACCAGCTCCATAGAATAATTGGTGTTGCACTGCAGTGAATACAAATGAGGAAGTATGATTGTGCCCTTACTTCAGTCAAGAGCTGATGAGGTGGCCTTTGGTAATACATTCTTCTTTAGTCATTTGCCTCTTCTTCATCTGTTAGTCATAGTTCTACTGAGGCAATATGGTTGCAATGCTTTGAATATTTGCAGTTGGCTCTGTGTGTGTGTGTGTGTTTATCTGCATTGTGTTTTATCTGCATCTGTGTGTGCGTGTGTGTGTGTGTTTATTTGCATTGTATATTATATTTTGGAAAAGAAGGGCAAACCCAAATCCTATCTATCCTGCTTTACTAATACATGGAAAAATACAAGCTCTGGGGCCATTTGGAACTGTGCAGATGATCCACCAAAATATGGGAACCTGTGTTAAATTCTAGGGCCCATGAAGCCTTGGGGTCTGTGTCTGTGATGTACCATTTTAAATTATATTGGGATGCTTGAACATCTGTCTATGTCTTTAAAAAAAATCAGCTTTCTTGAACAAAGCCATTCTCTAGCCTCTAGTTTTGCTTTTCTTCTAGTTTTCTGTGAGCAGACCTCTTTTTTAGCCTGTGTATACTTCCATTTGCACCCAAGCACAGACAAAACCCAACTTATAATTAAGTAGAGTGAAGTTTCTGTGTCAGATCTCAGATCCTGGGGGATAGATGTGGGAAGCCCTTGGCTATTTCCTTATCATTAGAGGATAGACCTTTGTACGCCATCTGGCTTGCCAGCGGAATCCGCAGCAACCTGTGATGAGGCCCCAGTGAGGTGTGTGTGATGGCATCATCGCTCAAATGCTGCCATTGCATACTTGCATCTCATACTTCCTGGTCTATTTGTTGGTTTTAATATCTTTCTTAAAAATAAAAAAAAGCGTATGGGTTTTTAAAATGAGAATCATGATGAACCTTTGCAAAACTTTGTCTTGTGCACCAGCTGCTCCTGTTCCTGGACCAGGAGGCCCTGCTCATGGTCACTCATGCCTTAGCCACCTCCCAATTGGATTATTGCAATGTGCTGCCCTTGAAGGCCATCCAGAAGCTTCGGTTGATCCAGAATGTAGAAGGGGAGGTAGTTATGGGATTATTCATTACTCCCATGTTATACCTCTGCTCTACAAACTGCACTGGCTCTTATTAGGCTTCTGGCAGCAATTCAAGGTAAATTATCACCTATAAAGCCTAACATGGCTAGGACGAGTCAATTTGCAGGACTCCCTATCCCACACGTCTAACAAGAGGGCATACTCCAGGTCCCCTCGCTGTCACATTACGGGACCTTGAAGGCATGCTTTCTTTGTGGTGGTTCCTGTTTTTTGGAACAATTTCCCCACAATATACAGTTGGCCTCACCCTGTAGACCTTTAGAAATGTAGTTAAGATCTGGCTGTTTCCCCAGGCCTTTGGGTGGAGTCCCAATTGGATTAGCTGCAGTATATCTTAGTCTGGTTGCCATTTTACCATTTTAGTTGGTTTTAAACATTGTGTTGTTTTCCTTACGTTGTATTTGTTGTGGATGTTCTTTTCTTGTACGCTGCTCAGACACTCTCTTTGAGTTGTGCAGCCATATAAATGTTATTAATAAATAATTAACATTTAACAAGTATGAATTCTTTCATGAAATATAAACCACCAGTATTGTAATGTCCTTTCATTGATATGGTTTGTCACAAAATTTGTGAACTTGATTTATTATGTAGCAATAAAATAATTGTGGTTTTTTTGCAGGTTTTACAAAAATGAGTAAGAATATTAAAGAGCTAAGGTAGTACCTGCTTTTATGCTATTATAGACAATTCAATAATAATCTGCAGTTAATATTTTGCTCAACATTTTTACCATTATAAGTGGTACATTTATTAAGCAGTATAATAATAAAATATTTTCTCTGAATAAGAGTTAGCATTTCTTTTAACAATAAGAAATCTCTGGATGTCTTTTAAATATGAAATGTATTGATGCTTTTCACTTTCATTGTATGTTTAGGAAATATGTTGACAATATAGTAGGGTTGTACACACTTTGAAACTTATTCAGAATAGATACTTTGGAATTTACATGAACATAGCACCTCTCTGCTACTCATTAAAGTAGCCACATTTATTCTCGGACTTCCATGTGTTTGAAAAAAGATGTAGTTGCTTTAATAAGTTGAATTATTAAAGCAGCCATGTCTTTAACACAAAACAGACAAAACTTCTTTTTCCTAATCTTATGCAGAAGTTTGAAAAAAAAAGACACGGTTGCTTTAATAAATAGCAAAGAGGTGCTGTGCCCACATGAGTCTGAGGTAGTTCTTCTAAATCAGTTCTGAAGTGTGCATAGTGCTAGACTCTAGTACAGATCCTATTTATGATCTACCACGTGTTGATTCCACAACTTAATTGTACAGGGAAGCACTGCAAAAGCAAACACAAGAAACCTTGAAACTCCAAGAAGAAGCAACCAAGTTGTCTTCAGAATCCACTGGACGTCGAGAAGGAAGGTCCTCTCCTAGTGTCGTAGGTATGTTCAATCTGCACATATGCAGATTACACTTGGCCCTTTTTCTGCAGATGGACACAAAATATTGGATACAAAATATTTTGAGATTGCTGTGGCCAAGACCTGGCTCACCTAGGTCTTCAATCAAATCACTTTGAAGATACAACATGATTTTATTTGCACACATACAGTATATCCTGGTCTCCCAGGAAAGTTTTGCACTTTGCTGAACAGCCCTAAGCAAAAGTGGAACCAGAGCTTACATACCTTTGGCCTACTACATTGCAAAGACAAGACAAAGAAAAAAAGCAGACACAGTGGAAATCACAGCAGGATGTTGGAATGTTTTAAATAAATCCATCCATGTGACCTTAATATGTATCCCTTCCTACTAGGTCCGCATACTAGCCATACCATCTCTGAGATATGGTCAGTGAATAGAAACAATTTGGTTTACTGAGCCACAGGTTCCTGACTGATTCTTCTCCCTGTCTCCAGTCAGGGTCATTTCAGCTTGCTGTAAATGTTTTCTTACAAGGACATTTTCAGTAGTTCATTTGTACGGCATCTCATAGACTTGGAAGTGAATGCCGCTTTTATATATATGGTGTGTGTGGGGGGTACCTTTTACCACCACAATATTACCTAAGAAATACTGTGTAAAACCTAGGCAAACTCTTTGTGTTCCACAATATCAAATCTCTGTCTTTCAGGCCAATTTCAACCTATAAAAGAAAGTTAACATTGATGTACCTTGCAGGACTGTTTTTATCAATAAAGAAAAAAAAGATGGTAAAGAATGGTCCATATTTTACAGTAGAAGCAGTGAAACCTTTTGCAAAGAGATCACTAGAATAACTTGATCACAGTATCTTTTCTGAGAAGTTAAGTTCTATGCATAATGTCTTGCTTATTTGGCGATACAAATACAGATAGTCCTTGTTTACTGACTGCCTCATTCAGCAACTGTTTGAAGTTATGACAGTGCTGAAAAAATAACTTCACAACCAACATTTATGAGCATCGCAGCATCCTGTGGTCATGTGATTGCCATTACCGTCAATACACGTTATCCTGTTCCTGACCTATTGTTTTTCTTTTTTTTCCTCCTTGCAGAGCAGAGAGATTGGAGAGGAAGGGATTGCAAGAGAACAAGCAGGCACACAATGGGGAATACACATCAAAAGCAATGTGGCAGTCCCAAACATGTTCAGGGCTGGAAGCAATGAGCACGCTACGCAAACAGCCCAGTGTATTCCCCATTGTGTGCTTGCTTACTCTCTTGTAATCTCTTCCTCTCCAATACAAACTTTAATTCCCTTCTTACTAATTATCCCAGCACCAGGGTGAGCATTCCAAAAGGTGGGGGAGTGGGGAAAAGGAAAACACAGTTGTGGTCATGTGATTTTCCACTTAGCATCTGGGTCACTTAGTGACTGAGTTGCCGGTCCCAGTTGTGGTTGCTAAACGAGGGCTACCTGTAATTACTTTAATGGAATGACATTGCTGAACAGTGCACTTTCTGCTGCTCCATTTTATTATTTACTATGGGTTATGGTTCTGAGAGCCACGCTGGTTGAGAAATGGTAATTCCTCATCACGGCAGAAAGCAAAAATCATGACATGATATGTGTGTGTCTGTGTGTGTTTGTATGTGTAGGGAGGCTGTTATGAGCAGTTATCCCTTATCTTCTCAGGTTCCATGGTTGCAAGTGCTGATTACAGAAGTAAGTAATCAATTAGTATTCCCCACAGTTATATTACTTTGTGTTTTCTTCAGTTACTGTCAAATTCTGGTCCATATGTCTGTTTTAGGGATTCAGTCTAAAACCAGCCCAAATTTATCAAGCTCTACCAAGCGCAGTATTGTCCTGGACACCACCTCGTGCATTATTCCAAGTTCAAACAGTAGTCCTCCCAAGATCCTGTCTTCAAAATATGAATTGGAGACTGAGAGAAAATCGAGTACTTTTCCAGGAAAAGAGCACATTGAAAACATCTTGGAAGGATATGCACAGCAAGTCAAAGACCTGCAGAAGAAGCTAAGTGAAGTAAGTGTCACATTTGTCCCAAGACATTTGCCCCAATTACCTGTATATTGTCAGGTCACTGGAGACACAGATATCACTGTCCTGATTGGGAGTTTTGTATGTTGTAAAAAGGGAGAAAACATTAAAAAAGAAAAGAAACTGCAGCTTAACATTATGTACTAAGAAAAACTGAACTCTGCAGCATGTAGATTAGGCCATACATATGTTTCATTTACCTTCTTTGTTTTCCTTCTGTTATTATGGAGAGAGGCCGTGGTTCAAAGATGGATAACTTTGAGATCTGCCAATTAAAACAAAAAGTATCTTTCCTCCTGAATAGATTTTTCTGTGGTTAAAAAAAAATGCTAGAAGCACAGGAAAACTTAAAGACGACAACTAATCTCTATTGAATTCTGTATTTGAGGTAGAGGGAGTTGCCCAGTTTTTTCATTAGAAACTTCCTGGAAATTATACTGACCTTACTTCTCATTCATTTCTTTTGACTGCACTGACTTTTCTAGAAAATTGCCACAAATGTTCATATATCTTGTTCAACTGTAGATGCTAGAAACATTTTTGTTGAACTATGATAAGATTCAGAGGATACTGATTCTGGGCCCAGCACTAAATTCTGTATTATTCTACACTGCACAGAGAGAATATTACGTGTTCCTTATTGCAAAGAACTTTTCCTGTTCAGTAAGTTCTGTAGAACTATTTTTCACAGCACTTATTTCTCTATTTTGAGTTTCCCAAGTCCTTCAAAGCATCAATGCTCTTATCATCCTTCATATACAATGAATGTTTAAATTTTTTTAGCATCATGTAGTCACTTAATATAGAACCAATGTAGTACAGTGCTTCTGTTTTAAGGTTCAAATCTTGGATCCCGTTTCTTGAGATCAGACTTGAATTTACCACGTACTGTATGTTGCATTACTGAACAACTCTAAGAATAATTTGTAATAAAACTCAAACCAGGCAAAATACAAAGTAAATCTAATCCTCAGTGTTTCTGTCTGATTTATTTCTAACCTTTTCTGATCTTGAGAGTCACTCATGAATTCTGCAAGTTCAGTGAAGAAGACAGGTCTCCTCCTGAATCTCCTTTTAGTGACAATTTTATCAATTTCCAAAGAATGTTCTTGAAATTTACAAAAGGCAGAAAATGACAGCAGTTTCACAGGTGTAAAGCTTTATATTGTCATTAACCTAAAACTCCAGGGATTTGTATTAGTAACTTATCACACCTGGGTTGATAGCCATTTCCTATTGTTGACATGGAAACAAGAACATCAGTCCACATCCTCACTTGATTCCCTACTGGGTCTGCTGATACCTGTGTGTTTTTCAGTTGAACTGCCTTCTAGATCTCAGATCACTGTTACTCCAGCATCTGCATGTCCAAGTGAGATCCATCATCTCTTTTGTTAAGTCCATCTTGGAGCTTGTGTTTCTGCTAGCTACAGACTTTTAACTTCATTTTAAGTCTTTCTTTGTCACCACCTTATGAAAGCTAATATTGATCTAGCAACCTCAGAAGGTTGGAAAGCTAACTATCATAAAAGTGATAATGTGTGTTTGGCAAAAGAGGAAAAAACCAACTGCTTCCCCATCACCTGGTTGTACCATTGGCCTGGTCCATGGGTCTCATATCTCAACAGGCAGCTTTATTTCCTGTCTGAACCAGAGCTAGAAGCTTTAAGGGATTTTCAGTATAAAAATCTGCAATGGGGGTTATCAAGCCATCCATGTTCTTGACCCCCAATGCATGGGAACAACATCTGTGCCAGGTGATAAAGCATCACACAGAATAACGAAGAAGAGCAACTTTAAGACTAGGGCTCTTAAAGGGCTTCAGCATATACTGTATATCTGTAGCAGAAGGCAACTAATAACTAAGAACAACATCCGTCTGAAGTTTTCAGGACCCGGCTCCAGTCTCTTTCTCTAGATTCCTGGCTCTTGAATGCCATAGTAATTCTGTAGGGATGAAAGAAATGGGAGAGAACAAAATAACACTGACATCAAATTTGAACTTTATGTAAAGAAAAAGAGATCTCTCTAATTCACTGAGGCCCATTTTATCTGCATGTGAATATTTGTGTGTTTGTGCAACATATATTATTAAAAAAGCCTTTGAATCAAGCTTAACTTCCTCCTAGTTACTGTATGAAAATGGTTGGCCATTGTCTTCTTCCTGGGTGTTTTTTTACTTTCTCTTATCAACAGCTCTGACCCTGCTTAGCTTTGGAATCAGCAAGGTTCGCTTTCTGCTTCCTGCTGAGGCAAAGGTGCGTGAGTCCTGCTAAAAGACAGACAGGTAAAAGCTCCTTCCTTGGCTTGTCTTCCATTACCTGCCAAGGCTACTCGTCTGCATATTCATCTAACAGGAAAGCTAAAAGTGAATTAGTTCCATAAGAAATTTTTTCTTTCAATTGCCGTGTTCCAGAAAATCTCTCCCATACTGATGTCTCCTCCTTTGCCCCATTCTTCCAACATTATTTAATTATCTTCTTTTATCTCCTGTAGAGTACAGAACAAAATGAGCAACAGAAATTCACATTAAGGCAATCAATTATTGAGCTGCAGACAAGTCTTCAGGATGTGATGAGAGAGAGAGATTCCATTAATGAATTAAGGTGAGCCCTCTCACAGCATGAGCCAAAGAGAGTCACTGTTCCCTTGTAAACCTTTCCTTTGATTACTCTTTCCGGGTTAGCTCCAGAATGGTTTCAGTGGGAGTTGAGAAACTATTTTGAAGCCAGGTGGGTATCTCTTTCTAGCTCACCTTCTCAGACAGGGAAAGATACCATGGCATGGCTCCTCCATTTCCTTGTGTAGTGTGATGTCCCAAAGGCAGTTGCTGCTGGGTCAGTTTGCTTGTGAGAAGGGTGTACCAGAAGCATTTTGTGTATAATCTTTTTCTGTGTACAAATCGACAAATAATTCCTATTCGTCCACATGGTTTGCCTTCTTGCATTTAGTGTTAGTTGACCCCAAACCAAATGGTGATCTCTTTGAGGCCTCTCCGCGCCATTGCAAAGCTTTAATTCTCTTACTAGCTGCAAAGAGTCAAGCTTCTGTCTGTTTTTCCACCTTTCTTCTGACTGGCACGCTGTTTTTTCCTACTCCCCATTCAGCAGATGGCATGTGTGTAGTATATAATAGCATCTTCCAGCAATCAAAAACCACGAAAAGCCTTTTGACCATTAGTTAATGAAGGCAGCAAGGAAGGAAGGATTTGATCCAGTTAACACAACAGGATAGCCATGGTGGTGGTCGCAATAATGGCATTTCATAACAGGGCTTCTTCTCTACTTCCAATATTAATCCTTCTCCTTGAAATCATTTATCTGTCCTAATTGTCTCTGATGTAAATTTCTTGGTCTTCATACTTACTATAGGTAACGTTATTGCTAATCTAACAGAGATTATCATCGTGATTCCTTCTGCTCAGGATGTTGTTATAAAGCTGATGAGAAAGCTTTGGACCTCCCTGCCTAGGAAAGTGTGCTTTGAGAGTTGTTTCCAGGTGTTTAGGGAAATTGCAAAAAAACTGTTGTTTTATTTTGAAGTGTGGTCAGCATGATGCTTGTAATTCTGTTGTCTAGCTTAGAGATGTGCTGCTTTTTATTCTCAAAAAATAGGTGGAGCCACAACAAAAATTGAAACCGATTTAATTGAAGTTTAGCCCAATGTAAATCAATTTGATTAAATTCAACTGGTACCCATCCAATTAATATATTTTGCCTCCAGCCACATTAAAAATTACAGTTACAGTTATACAAAATTACAGTTTGGAAAGGCTCTGAGAATCACTTGTTATAGGGCAGATGGGTGAGCTACATATATAGTAATTTCCCCCGTATGCTGGCTCTTTAACTAGTAGGAAGTGCATGGTTAGCATAAAAATAAAAACAAAACTGCCCTAATTTGAGATCAGAAGTAAATTATGGAATTGCTTGTAGCTCTTGAACTTGTATTGGATACTTCCTTTCCTGATAAACAGACGAAAGGAATCTCAAACGCAAGAAGATCTCAGTAGTAGGCTGAGGGCTACAGTTGATGAATTGCAGACAGCGAGCCTACTTCAGGATGAAATGCTGAAGGAGTCCAGTAGCCAGGTTGAACATCTAAAGAAGTTGGTACAGGCCCATGAAGATGTGTTTGAGGAACTCCGAAATCTTCTCCTGCGTCATGGAGACAGTTCGAACAGGAAGATGTATGAATATGAAAGTGTGCCCAATCTACGCGTCAGCAACCTGCCCTCTGCTTTTGCCAAGGTTCTCCAGGAGTTGGAAACAGACATATTGCGTTTGAAAACAAGGTTTGCTCCAGTACGTGATTTGCTCTTCAAGTTACTTATCTTCACCCCAAATCTGGAAGTGTGTGTATGTGTCTACATTAGGGGCAGTGGCATAGCCAAGTCAGGCTGATTGTAACCAAATGGTGAGAACATCATCCTGGCCACCACGCTGCTATTAGTTTTACACCAAATTTTGTCTCCCTTTTCATAAGATGGAGTACTTTTGAATTTAACCATAGCACCACTTTTTTCAGAGCTGGTAGCCATTGCACTGACTGTATCCTGGACAAAGCAATTACACACAGATTGGACCCTTCTAAATCACCAAGGCTTAAGTGCAAATACATTACTACATTTCTAACTAGACCATCCCAAATCTGACAGGGCTATCTCAGTTGTAAAAGTGAGGAATCTGTGTCAAACCTGGGTCATATTTCATTTCTATAAAGCTAGAACTAAGATGCTATATGATGCAGAGTTCTGAAAAGTGGGCAATAGAAGCTAAAATCTAGTCTTGCCTGCTTTCTTCCTTTTTTTCCCTGACAAGGATGCAATTTCAGGAAGAAAAATTAGATGAGGGAAGGATTCAGGTCCTTCTTCTATTTGCCCGTGATGTAATTTAAATGTCTTCTTATCCTTACTTTGCCAGTTGGATCATGTCCCTAATACATTCTGTTTTGCTCAGATATTGGGCCCAATTATTGATAAGTAATCGTATAAAATCAATCAATCAATAGCAGAGGCATCCACAGGAAGGTCAAAAAAGTCAAGATGGTGGCTACAGTTAGGGAATTGAAGCTGTGATCAATGGCTTAGATCATGCAGTCACATCTTGACTTTTTTTACCCTCCTTGCAGATGTCCCTGACAAGGAGCCAATTGGGCACTTCTGCCTGAGGTTCAACTTTGAAGGAACCCTTATGGACCAAAATGCAGTCAGGACCACATTGGGGGCAAGGTATTAAAGCTTCCAATCTGTGTGTAATTGCTTTAATACCTTGCCCCCAATGCTTCCTATTTGCCACATTAGAGCCGTGCTTCAGATTAGAGATCATCTGCCTATACTTTAATTTTTAAAAGCAATCACACAAATGGCAAGGGTGTAATCCATATAATTCTTAACTGGTTTCATTCTACTTTCCATTTTGGGAAATGGAACCTATTTCCAATTAAATATAGTTAAAAGCTGTTGTTAGCTATAAATCACCAATTACATATGCAAGGCCAAATTTTATATGTAATATAACATGCCTGTTGGTCCTCCTAGCATCTTACAGAAAATGATGATATAATTAAGGCATCTCTGATGTAAACAGGAATGTCAAACAAATCTCCTTTTTTCCTGTTGATATTCCGTATATCGCCTTAGAATGTTCCTTTTCATGCCTGCTGACAGATTTAGTTGTTTTGCCTAGTAAGCCTTAGATTCCACTCTGAATATTTTGTAGCTTCTGGGAATCCGAAAAGCCATGAGAAATTCCATCACTAGGAGCTTCAGAAGTCATAGCAAATACATGAAATGCAGTACAGCCCCAATGACCACTGGTTGTAGATCTCAGTCCAAAGAGCAACCAGTCTTCCAAGACAGAACTGTAGAGGATGATGGGAACTTGAGTTAGATAAGTGTTTAGGGGGAGACCGTAGCACAGTGGGAGATATTACATGAAAAAAATAAATGTAGGTCTTCTTCAGGTTGAGCTCAACCCTTGGTGACTTCATGGATATATCCCTGTCATTTTCTTGGCCACAATAAATAGTTTGCCACTGTTTTCCTCAGGGAAGTTTTTCCAACTTCCTTGTCTGGCCTATAGCCCTGGGAGTTTCCCATCCAAACACTAACCAGGTCCCATTCTGCCTGGCTGTTTGAGATCAACCAAGATAACCAGAGGCTGCCTCCTGGTTGGATGCAAGGAAAAACAAAAAAATATCCAGGTTCGGTCACTGATATCTCTCTTTGAAGCCCTTTTTGTAGCAAAGCTGGAAAAGTCCAGAACTCAGACATTTCCACAGAAAATAGATAGCCAGCTAGGTGAACAAATGGTCTGTTTCAATGTTGGGGAATTTTACAATATCATGAGTTCTATGATGCAGGACAATTGTTGAAGCCTATGAGATCAGGAGTAGACATCTATGGAGTAGGGGATGTTGCTGGACTACAAGTCCTAGCATCCTTTGCCAATAAGAATGGAGTTACGGCTCAGCCACATCTGGAGAGCTTTAAGTACCCGATAGTTAAGACTGTGGCTTGTGGAGCAACTCAGACAGATTGTGGAAATTTTTGGCAAGCAGACAAAAACCTTGGATTTTCCAGTCACTAATATCTAGTACTGACTGTTTGTCATGCATTCTGAGAGGTTGCCCTTTTCGAGAGCCTGTGGTTGAAGAAAGCAAGTGTAAGGGAACAGTCTTATCCCTATCTTATGGAAATATAGATGGAATTCCCAAAAACAGCACTGGCAGTAAGATAAAGGAAATATTGACCCAGGCACCCTGAAAATCATTGTTGATGTTTGTAGATACTTAACAAACTTAGGTTATTCCTCTTATCTATCTTAGCACCCGTGTTTCATAAATGGGCCGCGGTACCTTGACTACTGAGGAACATTCTTTATCTTTTAATTTACATAGTTGTCTGTATAAGAATAATTGTTTAATTAACCATAACTTGTGACATTTTATTAGCTGGAAGAGCAAATAGAAATGATGAACAGAGAATCACAGTCTAAAACTGAAGTTTTGCTTCAACAGCACCAGGACACGTATGTTGTTTTCTAGTTTCTTAACTGAAATGTATTTTAGATTATTTTCATATCGCTCATCAAGAAAGTTCCCGCAGCAGATTAGTGTGAAAAAGAAAATGTTTCCCAAAAAATGAAATCCAAAGCAGTACATCAAAGCAGAATAAACCCAGAAAGTCAAAGCAGTATAAAGCAGAAACGGAGAAGCAGAAACCCAAAGGGGTGCTCATCAGCATAAAGAGGTTTTAATCAGCTGTTAGCAAAGGCAGTGTGAAATTTAAAATGTTTTTAATTTCTTGTGGGAGGATAATTAGAAAAAGACTGAATGAGCTTCTCTTGAAAAAGTTCCAGGGCATCAGGATTGCTACTGAGAAAGCTCTGCTTTTTAGAAGAGGCCCATCTAGCCTCCACAAAAGGTGGAACTTGGAGCGGAAGCTTGTCAGAAGATCTTTGGGGATCAGAGGAGGTGGGTCATATGGCAAAAGCTGCTTAAAACGATAAAGCCCCAAAGGGATTGCTTCAGAATGATTACAGCAGCCATTCATTTTTACAAGAGAAAAAGAGGAGGTACATTTTAGAACAACACTGAACGGGAGCTATCTTCTCCTTGCTCCATGGCCGATTAAGTCTTTTCCTAGTTGCCCAGTTCTCTCCCAGATCTGTAACTTGGCCCTGCTAAAACATGATGAGATAATCAGCGCATTAGATCACAGATGCCTTACCACTGTTTGTTTGTTTGTTTGTTTGTTTATAAATAACAGCATGGAGAGGCTGATCGGTGAACATGAACAGGAATTGGAAGTATTGAACGAGACAGTGAAGGCTTCCCGCAGCCACGCCAGCAATATTCAAAGCCAGATGGAAATCATTCAGTACGTAATGCTCTTCTGAAGTGCATAGCAGCAAATGTTCTAGTGCAATGCTTCTCAGACAGAATGCACAACGTAAGAATTGACAGACCTGTCCCCCAAACATTTATCCATCTCTTCAAATAGTACATATACATTTTGCCATAACTGCAAAACTGCCTCTTTGGTAGTGATTTTCACAACTCATTGACTGCTTAGATTGCAACCATCATTCTCACCTTTATAACTGAGCTGTCCACTCCTGAATATTTTAGATTCTCATTTCGGTTTATTTCTTCTCTTTATTCCTCAGAGAACAAGCAAGAAATCAGAATTCTTTGTATAAGCGCCAGATCAGTCAACTGGAAGGCATGGTTTCTCAGCTGCGCTCTGAGCTACGGGAAGAAAGGAGAATGTCCCAGGATAAGGTGAGCACAACAAGAATGTTGATGATATCTGGATCTTTGGGTATGATCTTTGGGTGTATTTTATCTTGGTGATTATAAATGCAGAACATTTGCTAACTATTCTGAGGCAATATAAAAACCGCCAGTATCATTAAAAAGAAAAGACTTGATTTAGCATTGTTTAGAGGCAGAGAACTTTGTTTAGTCCAAACATTTCTGCAGATTTACTAATTTTGTGCTCATGTAATTAATACCCCAAAATATACTAAAATCCACCACTTTTAGAAGTATTTCTGCCTTGGTATGCATCAAAGTGTGGCTTATTGATTAATACTTTTTAAAATAAAAAATAGCCTACATAAAAGCATACCTACATAGCACATTTGTGATGATATAACTTGTGGGTTCTGTATATATGAAATTATGGGAAATTTTATTTATTTATTTCGGAAATGGCTATAGCTGTCTTAAATATATAACTCTGGGTGGCAAACAACTGTAATGAAGAACAGTTAAAAATAATCCAATACAAAAGAAAACTGAGGGAGCATATATCAGCCCTCAGGAATGAGGTTCCCCCCAAGATCCGGATGTCCCCCATGTTATTGTTTAGAAGAGCTCTTCACCCAGGCCTTGGTGAGGGAGAGGGAGATCCCTTGCTTCATTTCCACCTCGTCTGTCATTCTTGCCATCTTTTATCTTTTCTTCCTTTTATTGGTTTTATTGTGATTTCTTTGTTTTGATTGTTATGAGCCACCTAGAGTCATTGGAAGTCAGGAGGCATGCAAGTTTAATCATTTAAACAAACCTCAAAACAGACAAGCTTATATTGGGCTCCTCTATAACATCCCAGTCCTAACACTTGAGGGAAAAGACAGGTCTTAACAGCCTACAGAAAGAAGCCCATGAGGGTCAGGGGTCCTCTGAATCCCCAGCAGAAGCGAGGCTGGAGACGTTTGCTGGTAGTTGGCCTCTCCTCTTTCCTTTCTTAACCTTTCTTCATATCTTCTAAAATTATTTCCAGCTTTGTTACTATCGAAAACAGTGCAGGGTTTCCCTACTTATGCATTCTACCTCTCAAGTGGCTTATATGAGTCATATCAAGATGCAAATACATCCAGGATTTAATATTTTCTAAAAATAGAAGATGAACTTCCAGAGCGCACTTGAGGCACTCCTTAGTACAAGCTGAAATCTTTCAACAGCTGCTCCACTCTTCCACCTTCCATCCAAAGACTGATGCAGATTCTGTGACTTTAACATCAGCCACCTTCTTCTTACCATTGTAGTGGTCTAGCTTGGTGAAGCGTTCTAGAAAACCCAGATCTTAACACTTTCTTTTGTGACCTTTTTGGTAGACTTTATAATGATAGATTGCCCTGATATGAATTTTAAAATAAGAAACACTCATCACTGCATTGCCATTTGACTTCTGGCACTGGATTCTGCATAATTTGTTAATCAATCTTGATCTCCTAGTTGTCTCTGAGCTGGTTCATATTGAGACAGAAGTGTCTGTAGGGTGTGGTCCAAAAGTCAAGGTGGCGGCCACAGCAATGTGATTGAAGCTCTGTCTGCTTTTTATGTGTGACCAGACAGACCTGATCTGTCTGTTGTGACAGACCTGATCTGAGCTTCCATCACACCACTGTGGCTGCCATCTTGAATGGTCATCCCTTTTTGGTGCATGCATGATCGCTGCTGTTACATAAGAGTCCAAGAAATTAATGAATAGGTAGATTGTTGATGCTGGTTGTGGATACCTAGAATTTCTGACCACAATACAGAGGTGCATTATTAAATTCCACCTGCCTTGGATTTACCGCATCATGAATTAAACTTGAAAATGCAAAGCTGGCACACTTCTTGTACCAGCATAATAGGAATCAATGAGTGCTGTTAAAGACCACAAATGAAGTTAAACTCCAGATTCCAATATTTTGGCAGACACATTCCATACACTGTCAAAGCTGTAGGTTGCGAAGTAAAGGTTAAAAACCCCTTCTAGTTGAGCTTGACTTGTGATGTCTTCATGGACATGGGCAACTGTACAGAAGCAGTTTGCTGTTGCCTCTTCTAGGATATGTTTCCTGGTAGTCTCCCAGCCAGCTCTTAACCAGATCTGGCCCTGCTTAGCTTTTTCAGATCAACAAAGGCCAGCTAAGCATTGCCACCTACTTGAGCTAGACTACAAAGGTGCCTTTTTTGAATAAAAAGAAAACATTGAGATTCTCAGGAAACTGCATTCTGTGCCCTTCTGAGGGTTGCTTCTGAGTGTGTTTTTGTGTTAATACTTTAGATAGAAGATCTGGAGAAGCAGCTGCATCTGGTTCACTCTGAGATGGCTGAGGCTCAGAATGAAAGGGATCAATACAGCCAAGAAACTGGAAACTTAGATGATCAGGTTCAGCAATTGTTGGTAGGAATCTGGCACAGGAGCGCCTCAATAAAAATGGCTTTTGTAAATCATGCTGTTAATAATCTAGCTAAGTGGGTCAAATTCCATTACTGTATGAGGAACTCAGAACATTCGATCTTACAAAAGAAGACTGACTCATCTTCATGATATGTGATGGAAGTCTGACTTCAGTGCCACTAACTCTTAAGCCTCTCACAGCCTACTGATCAAGCGTCAGTGGGGTGTAAGTAAAGAGTTGCAGGTTTACTCTGTGCCCCCCTTTGTCACACTGCCTGTTGTTCGCCTAAGAATTTACTAATCTTGAGTTGCTTCCTTCTGCCTTTCTTCCCCGGCACTCATGCATGGAGTACATGTTCTTGGATTCTCCTCTTGGTAGGATGTAGCTAGTTAAATCTTATTTCTGTTAACTGGTTACCAGTTATAAAGCCTGCTTCACTAGTCATTGCTCAGGTCAGATTCCTATTCTCAGGATCACTCTCATGCACCCAGGGAACCCTTCTTCTACCTCCAACAATATATAAGCCTTCCACTGTTTCAGTAAGGGAAAAAAAAAACATTGGGACTAATGAGGGAAATATTGAGAATATTTCACGTTTTCAAAGTGACTTTGGGAGAAGGACTTAGTTGCAATCAATCCATCAGATATTCATGTATAGGGAAACTTTGGGGAAAGGGAAGGAGGGAGGGAGGGAGAGAGGGAGGTAGATACAGCCTAAGATGGTCAGCCAGAAGTCTGAAGCAGAAGCCCAGTTTGGGGCATGAAGGGGGAGGAGATGGTAAAAGAGAAGAGAAGCAGGAGAGAAAGGAACCTGTTATCTTTACATCTTTTGCATTTTTTCTGCTAAAAATGTCTTTCCCTCACTTCTTTTGCTGGTAACAGTTGTTTATTGTTATTTTCACTCTGGGAAAAAAAGCATAAAAGTTTAAGCAATGCAGTTCAATCCAATCTCATATTCAGTTTATAGCTTTGGAGGCTTCATTTTGGAGATAAGGAACCCTCAGGAGAAAAAGACATCCTGGATCTAGTCCAAAGAGACAACTATGTTTTTGGAGTTACCAGCTGAGCAATTTCCACCTCCCAGACTAGGCAAACCATCAGATATTTTGCTTGGTAGATTGTAAATCATACTTATTTTTTCTCTGAGCTTTATTTCATTGGGTGAGATTAACCTGAGGGTGAAAATGTTCTGTTTGCTTAGGATTGGCTGCTCCTGGATTAATTCTTTCATGCATTTGAAGTTTTTTTCCCTTCCACTTTTAGAAACTCTATGGAGCATTGCTTAACAGGTTGCCTTGCCTTGTAGGCTGAGCTCCATAAGAAAGATACAGAGCTGAATGTGGAAAGGGAGCAGAATAAGAGGCTCTGGGATCGAGACACAGGGAGCAGCATCACCATTGACCATCTGCGGAGAGAGCTGGACAACAGAAACATGGAGCTGCAGCGCATGGACTCCATTGTGAAGTCCTTGCAGATGGAGTGTCAAGGACAAATGGAACGTCAGGTCAGAAAAGAAGCCCATTGCCACAAGCAGAGATGCCACCACGTCTGGTGAAACCCCAGACCTTGAGTATTTCCCAAACTTCTAATAGCCAAAAGAAACATTTTTCTCCTTCTGAATTAAAATGGGAGGCCTCCTTTTTCAGAAGAGTTGGAAGCTGACAGCTGTTTATCAGTGCCCTGAAGCAGCCCATTTATTGATTGTTCCTTTATTAGATTTGTGACTCGCCACAATCAAAAACTACGCTTGGCAGCTCACGAGATGATCCAATAATTAAAGCGTCCGTGGTGCCCTGCTAATAACATAAAAATACAATATGAAAACCAGCCTGTACCAAATATATAACAAGGAACTACAAAAATAGCCAATCAATAGCCAGGCAATCAATAGATGGCAGCAATCACAGCTGCAGTATCCTTTAAAATAACTTCGTTTTGAGCAACTTACAAAATGCATGTTGATGCTTGATGATATTCGGGAAGCCTTTGAGAACTTGGCCGTTCTCCCAAGCCTTGGGATAGGGAAACCGTGGAAACCTTGTCAGTTGTGTTTTTGTGGCAAATGGAATGTGGTCTGTCCAGATTCCTCTTTTCTATCATTTTAAAAGTGTAAACCACCCAGAGTCGTGCTAGAGTCAGGCAGCCTTTAAATTCAATAAATAAATGAATAGCTAATAAAGTGAGGGGCTGGCTAATATCTGAGGGGGAAGGATATTTGTTAGACTCTTAAAAAAAAAAAAGCAACTCCCTTCAGTGCCAGCATTTTTAAAAAGCCATATAGCAAAGTCAGGTCAAGACAGCTTTACGGTGGGTGCTTCCAGCATCAATTACATCAGACCTCTGATATTGGTTACTGGGAGGAAATGTGGGGGAAGAAAAAGGCTTCAGGTCTTGCTTTGGTGTTTCACGCTGTTGGCAATTGGGGGAAAATGGATATTGGACTGGATAGGCAGAGCCTTTCTCACCTTATATTCGTAGTGAGGCCATTTTTAATACCAGATTCTAAGATGGAGGGATCCTTTAAATGGGAGGAGAGATGCATCAGCAGCAGTTCTCATCTGCATGCCCTGAGTTGAAGTATATAAAGAGAAAGGAGATTAAGCTGCTGCTATGGGTTTTTATTTATTTATTTTTTCAAAGTTGCTGCTGTTCATGCAAGGTCTCCTCTGTCTTGGCCTCATGCCTGGAATAAACATCCTTGTGAACCAGGGAAGCAAGGGGGGGGGGGGGGTCCGTTGGGTCCTACTTGGAGGAAGACAAGACAAGACAAGAGCAGAGAATTGTGTGGCTATAAAAATGCCACTTGGCAGGACACATCTTGGACCAGTCAGCCATCTGCGGTTGTATTTTCAACTGTCTGCAGATGGCAGCATGACTCTACAGTTCCAGAGAAATAGTGAGAAGGTACAACAACAAGGAGGAGAACGCTGTTAGTCTGTGGCAGCAAAAATCAGGAGGAATCCTCTAGCACAGTGTTTCTCAACTTTAGCAACTTTAAGATATGTGGACTTCAACTCCCAGAATTCCCCAGCCAGCCAAGGAGTTGAATTCCACATATCTTAAAGTTGCCAAGGTTGAGAAACACTGGTCTAGCACCTTTGCTAGCTACCACACTTTATGAAAAGGCATAAGCTTTAGTTAGTTGGAAAAGAGGCTACCCAGCTCCTGATTTTTGTTAAAAGACTGAATACGTACATATGTAGAGGGGAAGAATAATGGAGGGTCTTTGAGACATTCCCCAGTTGAAAGAGGGAATACCATTTAATGGCAGTGGCTCTAGGCATCTCAGCTTGTGTTTAAAGCAAATTTCAACGCACCCATTTTAACAAAAAATGAAAATTCACTGCAGAACCTCATCCAGAGTAGGTGAAATCGTTAGCAAGTGGAGGTAGGACTGGGGGAATGAGGCTCCCTTCGTGATGTAGTCCAGACACAATCTCTGAGCCTGTGGGGAGGACAGCTGTGGTTGGTGTCTCCTGAGGCTGATGAGGCAGAAGCCAAGTTCACCCTAAGCTGGGTTAAGAGAATCAACTTTGGCAGACCCAATTCAATTCAGGAGGAAGCTGAGTAAAGATGGGGATTCTCTTCTACCTGCCCATACAATCCAGCCACTTCTGGGAAAGAGATATAGATTGTCTAGCATTCTGAAAAGGGAAAGCGGGCCATAATTGAGATAACTAAAAGGAACCTGCTATGCAGTATGATGAGCACATAAACAGAGATATTCTTAGTGTCTGACCCAAAGTTAAGAAGGTCCCTCTCTCCTGGAAACCGATCTCTTTTCCTACAAAAGCCACTCAGCGTCGTTTTCAGTGTCAAGCAGTAAACAGATGTGGAAAGTGTTTGTTTAATCAGCTGAAAACCTTGCTTGAATTCAGAGAGGCTTGAGTTTCAAAGTTCATATGCTATCGCAGAGTCTGCGGGTGTTTGGGAAGAGGACTTGGGTTGGAACATTGAGCCAGCGGTCGAAAAGAGCCACAGAGGTAGAAAGCAAGAAGGCCTTTGTTTGGGGGTAACCATTTAGAAGCATTGCCAGGCTTTCGCAGCAGCTCAGTTTCTAGTCCGTGGAGAATTTGCAGTGTCTTTCTTTTATAAAGGAGGATGCTAGAGGCAGTAGGAGAGAAAGTTCATGAGGGAAGAAAGTGGGTGAAAGTATCATGCCCACTCTTTGGACCTGAGGCTCTTGAGACAAGGGGTTGAATACGGATCTGGACTACTGCAATGCTCTCAACGTGGGGCTGCCTTGGAGGACCATTTGGGAACTGCACCACTTCGGCATGGTGGCTTGTATGTTGTCAGCCTCCCAGGAGAGATCAGGCTAGCCCCCTTCAGACTAGTATTTCTCCACCTTTTAAAGATGGAGTTGTTTTACAGACTTTCCCCTGATTTTATTGCACCATCTTTGACTTCTATTTTTATTGCTTGTACTTATATGCTCAGTGGGTGTCGTTTTTATTGTTTTTATGGAATCTTAACGCCATGGATGTTTTACTGGTTTTATATTCTATGTAAGCCATCAAGAGTCTTGCCTCTGTGGCAGGATAGAAATGTGAAAAATAAATAAATGTCCATTTCACCCCCCCCCCCAAATTTTAGAGCTCAGGATAACGCCTGTTCCTCTTCCCAGTTCTGTTCCATTTGGGATAATCTCCTTTGGTGAAGTGAAAACATTTGGAATATATCTTTCCCTTTTCAGATGTCTGCAATTAGAGAGAAGAACGAAAGCCTGGAGAGGGTAGCCTCTATCACTGCCCAGCAAGAGTCAACCAAAGAAATGCTCCATAAAGTTGTCGAAGAACTGACCGACAGAAAAGTAAGTTTGGAGTCTGCAGAGAGGCAAATATCTGACCTGACATGTTCCCTGCAGGAGAAGGAAAAAGTAATTGAGTTGACCAATGAGGAGATCCAGAAGCTCCGTGGGCGGGTCGATAGCAAATTGCAGGAGCTCCAGCAACTAAAAAGTGAAAGCGATCACTTGCGAAGTGTGCAGTCTGGCTGTGAGTCCATGAAGATACAGGTGATGGAAAAGGAGAAGGTGATTGAGATCCTCCAGAAGCAAATTGAGAGCATGACCGAGATTGTAAGCCAACATAGCCGGACAGCTGGTGCCATGGAGACAGAAAAGTCTCAGCTCTTAAAAGAAGTCAGTGATAAGAAGTTGGAGCTTCACGAACTGAAGGTGCATATGACTCTTCTTAAAGACACAACTTCCCTTTCGATCCCAGGGTATTAGGATCAGGAGTGATAAAAAAGACGAGGAGAGCTACATTTTAATCTAAAGCTTTCCAAACTAGTGCTTTCCACCTAGGTTGGGAGCTTTGGTTTTAGCAGATATCAGGGGTCTTAAAATATTGGCTGCAGGGCCCATTCACAGGCTTCCTAGAAGCAGGTGATGGCCAGCTTTCTGCTGCACTAGGCACCACCACTCCATGTGGGCAGGGGATGATACAGCAACTGCTAGACCCAGTACTGGTTATAAGATATGAAAAGCAACAGGGTATCACTTGGGCCTGGAAAAACCAACTCTGTCCCTTCTCCTTGGCTGAATGGTCTGTCTTTTGGCAGATACAATGCAGTCATCATGCTGCCCTTAACACGGTGTACCCTTCACCATTCTCATTCTTGGAAACAGCCCCATTGCAGTTGTTCAGGGCAAATAAGGAGGTGTTTTTCCAACCTAGATTTTGCACGACAAGAAAGATAACCACATTCGTGAGTTAGAGGCCAGCCTGAGTGACATGGAATTAGAAAAGGTGAAACTGATGAACGTGTGCTCTGAGAGGCTCCGGGTACTGAAAGAGATGAAACTGGAAAGAGAAGAACTTGTGAATGAAATCAAAACCAGTCGCATTGAGCTCACGGCTCTAGCAGGTATTTGTCAACTTTGTCTTTCTTTCTTTGACTCTGTATACTCAATACCCTAGACCAGTGTTTCTCAACCTTGACCACTTGAAGATGTGTGGACTTAAATTCCCAGAATTCCCCAATTCATGCTGGCTGGGGAATTCTGGGAGTTGAAGTCCACACATCTTCAAGTGGTCAAGGTTGAGAAACACTGCCCTAGACCAATATATTTTGGCTTGGGGCCAAGATATTTGAAAA